CCTAAAAGTGGACCTTGTGTAGAAGACAAGAATCATTAATTTTGCGACGACTTGATTAAATTGGTAAGGGGAAAAGACAGATATAAACTGCAACTCAGAGCAAAGGTAGCGTTAAGTCAAATAAGAAACTGGAATTTTATCAGGAAAGGATAGAAGTGGTTTTACTTAAGGACTTTAAAAAAATCAATAGAGAGAGAGAGAGAGAGAGAGAGAGAGAGAGAGAGAGAGAAAGAAAGAAGTTTCGATTTATATTTAAAGAAAGGCTACTCAAACTCGAAAAGAAGGTGAAGTACCTAGGTATAGTACTAAATAACGTTGGCACTCTTGGTAGGCGGTCAATAAACCGGAAGTCAAAGTGGGAGCCCTTTCTGGGTTAATGAATAAGAATGACTTATCACTAATACTATGTCACACACTATGTTAAGTAACAAAAGCAGAAAATAGTATGTGTGGTTATTGAATAAAAATAACTTTTCCTACGACCACTTAGGAAAGTGACACATATCACACTATATAGACCTATGGAAAGTGCCCTATATCACACGCGTATGAATAAGAATTTACTTTCCACCCAAGTGAGAATATGCTACTTTCCGCAGTAGCTGTCAGAAAATGTCAAACACATAATTTCTATTTTGATCTATGTAATGTCCATATTAATACTAAAATCGATATGATTGTTAAATTATTGTAAATTAGATCCTAGATATTTATCTTTAACAATTATTTTTAAAATAATTTTAAAATAACTAAGATATATTTGCTTTTTATTCTGGTTAAACACATAAGCGATTAGATCAATCAATTACCGTAAGGCCTGTTAGCTCAGTTGGTTAGAGCATCAACTTTGCAATTTGAGACCGTCCAACGACCGCGATCGAATCCTGGCTGTGCCAGAATTTTTTTTTTATTTTTTTTTATTTGTTTAGAAATTATGAAAATTTAATAAATACGATTATTGTTGATTATTTTTTTAAATACATTTTAATTATTATAATAATCTGGTTTTACATTTTTTGATGAAATTATTTTGTGGTCGTAGGAAAAATATTGTACATCACTTGTGTGAAAAGTGATTTTCCACACTCGTGTGATAGTCGCACTCGGCTTATGCCTCGCGACAATATTTCCCACTCGTGTGAAAAATGTCACTTTCCACACTCGTAATGTAATATACTATATCCTTGCGTTGACATATCACTAGTAATATGTCATACACTATGGATTAGAAAGATTATGGATCTTATTTTTCGTTTACCTATGGTTACTAACCCTATCCATGTTCAAAAACTAGTAGAGGAGACCCGGGTATAATGACATACCATGTTTGTTATGCAGAAAACTGAATGACTAAGTGAGGCAAATGAAATTATTTTCATACATATTATTAGCCAGTGATATACTCTACAGCTTTAGAAACAGTATCCTTTATTTTTTTTATAAACTTTATTTAGAACAGCAAACGTAATTGCTGACCTAAAATCATTTTGCCCGCCCTGGTCCGGCAAAATGATATACAAACAAATAAAAAGCAAAAAACATATTAAACCCGTAAATAAAACAAATAAAGTAAAAAATTCGGTGAAAAATATAGTAAAACTTTAAAAGTTAGTCCTTGCAAAGGTCACAAATGAACATCTTTACGTTTTTGGAGATGCCCGCACACTCTGCGTGTGTCTACTTTTGACAATGTTGACATTGTAGCCAAGATTACTTGATTTTTGATCTGCTGTACAAATCTTTACAATAAAAACATGAACAGTCATCTTCGTCATCACTAACACGATATGGATCTTCTTCTGCTTCACTAGTTTCGTCTGCCATCAACCTGATCCTTGCAACAGTTCTCTTACTTTTTCTTAACTGCTCCTGTTTTCTTTTATTTTTGCTTTCTTGGTCATTGTCTACGAGCTTCCTTGATCCTTATTTCTTGTTTTTGTTTCTTCTCGATTTCTTTTTCTCGAATGATTTGAAGATACGGACTTTCGGTTAAAACATCTTGGTATCCACCAATCTGACGTTTGCAAGTTTTTCTTAGGTTGTTTTGAGGAACTGGTGACAATTCTTGTAAGATACTTTGAATATCGACCTTTTTTCAAGAGCACACATGTGCTTGATCCTGATATACTGTAAAAGTTTGTTGTTCTTGCTCTCTAGGTTTCAGTTCAGTATTTGCTTCAGGTTCTTCCAGATTTAAATTTTCGTTAATGGGTTCTCCTTCTAGGGCAGGCACGTCCTTTGTTAAGCTAGATAAAAAGACATGGTCATGAAAAATATTATCATATTCCCGTGGCACGAAACGCAGAGGCTGCAATTTCGAGTGTAGCTGTTCTTTCGTAGGCGTGGTTGAAAAGTTTGGCTATCTCTGATAAAGAGTAACTTTACACAACACAATGAACTCGTCAGATGGAAGTCTATCGAATCCACATACTTTGATTTTCTTTACTATACGGCGCAAGAGAGAGGTCCGACACGCTCAACATAGGGCCAGGCCATTTTGAACCCTATGCAACAGTTTATAGCTAAAGAATCAGATCGCTCACTCTGCGTCGGCACTTTTGATCTCAATGTTCCAGTTTATACACTGCGCAACTCGGATAATACAATATATAACAACCGCCTATAATAAAACAGCTGTCTTCTGCGTATCCTAAATTTGTATCCCTGGAGTGGATCTTATTTTAAAACTTTCAACTGGTCCGAGTGAGCTAACTTATTCTTTAGCAATAATCTGTGTCTCAAAAAATAATATGCACTGACACTGACAGCCGCAAGCAAAATATCAGGTGCGTTTTAATCATCCGCTTCTGCTCCCGGAATTGTCGGTTTAGTCGTTTTAACTTGTCGAATTAAAACAAGAAAACCGACAATTCCGAAGCAGAAGCGAATGATTAAAACGCACCTATTAAAAATATTGCGCCAAGATGTAGGCAACACGTAGTAAGGGTTCAAAATGGCGGAGTTTTCTATCTCCTTTTAAAAGGCACTCAGAAAGCTGCGCAGTGCGACCATTCTCCGTATAGTAAAAGAAAATCAAAGTATGTGATCGAATCCCTATTAGAGACAGCGCAGTGTTGTCAGCTTCTGAACGTTGTCCTTGAAGAGGGACTTTATACTACTACTAAATTTATTGTAATAAAGGAAAGTCATTATGCCCGAGTATGTCATTTTGCCCGCATCTCCCCTTGATTATTGATACAGCTTTGTGATCGAGATCAATATTTTATGATCCACTCTGTGAGTAAATTAGTAATAGATCCGCATGCGCACAGCAGAATTGTATAACGACATGACGCAATTTTTTTGATGTCTGGTGTCTACCAATAGTAGCTTCTACATTTAGTTAGTTATAATTTGTACTCTTTATGCTTATATTGCGACTTTATTACTCAGAGTACATGTTCAATTAAAATGGTTCTTTAACAAATAAGGGTTCATAATATTTAAAGTTACGCGGGAAAAGTCAAGGATTGGCAGACGTAGATAATATGAAGACTAGAGATAATAGAGAGTTGAAGTGATGCTAGGAACGTAAACGTATACGTGAAAATTGACATCTACGCATGCGCATTCAAATATCTGTCACGTTCACGTCTACGTACGTACGTAAGCTTGCGGGCTCTGGCGTATGCACGTAACGCAAATAACATAACCTCTGTTTTAATTGGAAATGAAGAAATCCTAATAATAATTGTCATTATCTGTCATGACACGTAAATGTCACGATGCGTTTAACAACTTCAACTCATATTTTGGACTATACCGTGAACATTATTTTTGTGCGTTGACGTTCACGTTTACGTTAACGTACTGGAAACACTTCAACTCTCTATCTAGTCTTCATAGTAGATAAACAGGAATAATAATCCCACAACATCGTAAACTGTCGGCACTAAGTACAGTGATCCACGTGATCCATTGATTAAACCCAGTAATCAGGATTTTTTATCTATAGTAGGATTCCGAAAACGCCTAATGTTAACGACCAAACAACGCAGATTCCTGAATCAGAGCACATTAAATACTTAGGAATTGTCATCGATAAACATCTGCGCTGGGATTTGCATATAAATCATCTTGCTAAAAAGATAAGAGGTCTTATTAGTAAATTCAAATTTTTAAGGGAATACCTGGATACACCTTATTTAAAAACTGTGTACTATGCCTTGGTTCAATCTCAGTTAACATATGGTATACTAGGATGGGGAGGAGTTTACGATATCTACCTTGAAAAAATTTGCATTTTACAAAAATGGATTTTAAAACTGATTTATAACAAAAAACCTACATACTCTAGTAATTTGGTTTATAACTATAGTCAAATCCTTTATATAAGGCAACTTTTCTGCCAACGCATACTTATAGCTATCTATAAAAATAAAATAGAAATGTTGGAAGTAGACCATATTTATAATACCCGAAGACGAAATCAAAATTTTAAAGTACCAAAATGTAATAAGAATATTAAACAACGAAGTATACATTTTATAGGCCCTAAATTATATAATATCTTACCAAATGATTTAAAACGTATTAACAAATTTTACTCTTTTAAAAATAAAGTCAAACTGTGGATATTAAAAACTGATAGAACTGTATTTAGCAATATAGTTAATAACGATTAAATAAAAAAAAGATATATATGTTTTTGAATTCATTTACTTACTTACTTTTGTAACAACTCAAAATAATTGTAAAAATAAAAAAAAAATGTACAAAAAAAATACAAAAAAGAAGATACAAAAAAAAATCAAAACAAAAAATATATACCTATAGATTTTTTATATTGATTTTTCATATTGATTTTTCATATTTTTCTTTTTTAATTTTTTTTTATATTATCTATTATTATCTTATACCATTACTACCAATATATCACGTACAAGTTGTATATGCCTCGTCCTACACAGCTTCTGTGATTATTCATGTTTATTTATTGTAATTTTTCCTGTTTATATATTTATGTTATATTGATGTAAAATAAACATTATTATTATTATTATCAAAACCCTTAAAAGTTTAACGTCAAAAAATAATACAAGGTTTATAATTTTATTATATAAAAAATGGTTATTAAAAAGTGATTAGATAATAACGGTGATTTTCTTTTTTTTAGATGAATTAAAATGTGTAGTGAAAATGGAGTCCATCATTATAATGGAAAATAACACCGACTACTTCGTTGTAAAAAATATGGATAATGCAGCTTCAGTAGAAGGGGTAAGTGTCAATACTATCATATACTGCATTATGTATTAATTGTAGAATTCTTCAGTATTGCGATCCACATACTTTGATGATTTTCTTTTACTATACGGAGAATGGTCGCACTGCGCCTAAAAGGAGATAGAAAACTCCGCCACTTTGAACCCTTATTACGTGTTGCCTACATCTTGGCGCAATATTTTTAATAGGTGCGTTTTAATCATCCGCTTCTGCTTCGGAATTGTCGGTTTTCTTGTTTTAATCTGACAGGTTAGAACGGCTGAACCGACAATTCCGGAAGCAGAAGCGGATGATTAAAACGCACCTGATATTTTGCTTGATGCTGTCAGATTCAGTGAATATTATTTTTGGAGTCACAGTTTATTGCTATAGAATCAGTTAGCTCACTCGGACCAGTTGAAAGTTCCAAAATAACATCCACTCCAGGGATACAAATTCAGGATACGCAGAAGACTGCTGTTTTATTATAGGCGGTTGTCATATATTGTATTATCTGAGTTGCGCAGTGTATAAACTGGAACATTGAGATAAAAGGTGCCGTCGCAGAGTGAGCGATCTGATTCTTTAGCTATAAACTGTGTCATAGGGTTCAAAATGGCCGCGCCCTATGTTGGGCGTGTCGGACCTCTCATTTGCCCCGTATAGTAATCAAAGTATGTGATTGCGATCATATAAATATTCTTAGGCTTCGATCATATTAGAGGCACGCTTGTGCAAGTAATTTGGTGGCGCCCACGTGCGCAAGCTGGCGTAAACAGCAATGTGCACACACTAAATACAAGCAAGTACAAGTTAATTATTACAAACAGGTCAGTCAAAATGGAGATGTCAGACGATGAGTACATTGTTTTGGAAAATTATGTTTTAAATTTTTATTTTTGGAGGAGCAGGAAATCAGGGAAGAGTGGGTTAACGAGTATTTTTTAGACAGAGAGGAAGATGGAGGGTATGCACGAATATTAACGATTTGCTTAGACAACCTAATGTGTTTTTTGAATACTTTAGAATGATGCCAGACACTTTTTATTATATACTAGGCATAAGCGTTTCCTTTTCCATCGTATACTCGTAAACATAAATAAGCAGCTCAACAACATTACACTATCACTGCCTCGATGGTCAGATATCAACTGAGATCACGCACGCTTGCAATTAAAAACAAATATATTTGTTTCGGATCAAGCTTGCACTTGCTTGTTGAGTGCAGTGTGAGAGGCGATTGACGAGCACCACTTGTTTCTGTCGCTCTCCTGAGGATTTTGTTTCTATATGCACGCTTGCGCACGCGCGCGTCAACAAATTACTTGCACAAACGTGCCTCTAATGTGATCGAAGCCTTAACTTAAAAGCTGTATTTAGTCGGCAACAATATCTAATGTGACATATGAAGTGACAAATGACGTGACATATTGCTTCTGATGTAGGGATTCCAACCATATAACCGAATATTTACTGTTTCAGTCAAATTTGAAAAATAGTTTACTAAATGCGATTTTTCTGAACCAAAAATAATATGGCGGGTATTTTTTTGTGGCCAAAAAGTTTAATATATGATGAAGGACTTATTAGTTTTGGTAAAAAGTAGGCCTTTATTCGAAATAGATGTAAAATCGGAACTGAAGTTTGAATATATGATTATTAGCTCTCAAAATGTTTGTACGACTCCCAAGTAAGAGTATTGTCTTTTAGAGCGTTTTTTAACATAATAATATGTTTTGATATTTTTTTCTTTAAATAAAGTTTAATAGAACTGTTTTTTTTTCAAACGGTGTATTTTAGTTACGTAAAATTTGTGTAACAATTTCTTTGGTGTTATTTATTAGTTCTTGTATTGTTTCTTAGTACCCAATATCGGTCTATCACTGTTATGTCGCGATATTATCTTTTTTTCGTCTCAAACAACAGCACTTTATTTTAAATTTATTAACTTATTAATATAAAAAAATTACCGTGAATCTGATAGTTTCCAGATTGTAAATTGTTTCAAAACAACTTCAGAACAACTTTCGAATAACTCTTCTAACTATAATCCATTGTTCGAATTATCTCTGTAACTCCAGCAACTTTTCCGCAATATCGTTTTATAAATAGAATGTCGGGTTTCTAATTAAACTTGCTTTAATACCCGAATATTGAGTGGAGCCATTTCAACAAGGGATTCTATACCGCTGCTTGGACAAAAGGAACAAAAGTTTGACAAAATATGACGGCCGAAATAGTAGCTAGTGATAATTACTAATTTTCGCACATGAATTTGCCATAAACTGCGGGCAATCAGGTCGATGTTATTCACGTGTCAAAGCCATTGACACGTCAATTTTGTAAACAAAAAGATAATGAGTAATGTTTATAATCAAAAGGTCGAGGAGAATTTTTAATTAGGTGCAAATTACTAGTTTTGATTTTCAAACTCTTTTTTTAAAAATTTGAATGATTTGAGATTTATAGATTATATTAGGCAAAGTAATTTTAGTTAATCCTTTAGTAAATAAAATTGCCAAAGTTTTATGCACTGAAAGATTAAGGTTAGGTTTTTTCCAACCAGGAAACCAGGATTCTAATTTAAGCAAAAAGGAGTTGATACGTGGAATCATATTGTAAACATTCGATCCATTAACCAATATTACCAGATCATTAGTATATTGAATTAATTTAAAAGTATTAAGCAGAATATCAAATAGAGACAAGGTATAAAGGTTAAACAAAATGGGACTGAGCGGAGAACCTTGAGGAAGGCCTTGACTAGTAATTTGAGGATTATGGATGTAGCCCAAATTGTCTCAAGTAAATAGTTCTCTTTGGACTAAAAAGGAATGTATTAAATTGGCCAAATCCACTGAGACATTCGCATCTAGTAAAATGGAATATAACCGAGGAATATTAACTGAGTCATATGCAGCAGAAATATCAATAAAGAGACCAATAGTAAATTCATTAAGGGAGAAACCTATTTGCACTTGTGAGGTAAGATAGACAAGACAATCCGTACAACCCCTGCCTCTTCTGAAGCCCAATTGTAAAGGATTAAGAATTTGGTTATTTTCCAAATGCCATTCAAGTCGATTTTTGATTAAGGATTCTAATACTTTGTCTACGCAAGAGGAAAGGGAAATAGGCTTATAATTTGAAGCTACCATTTTATCCTTATAGTAGGGATTGATTCCATTGTTGAGGAATTGAGCCTATTAAAATACACTTATTAAAGATACTTAGAAGAAACAAGGAGCCTGAACGAGATACATTTTTTAGCATAGAGTATAAAATAAGATCTAAGTCTGGAGAAAAGTCTCGTTTCAAATTTAACACACTTGAGTATTCATTAAGAGTAAAGGAGGATTCTGAATGAGTTATGCTATTAATTTGGTACACATTTTCCAGGGAAGGAGGGGAAAGAATGTTTAAGATTTCTTGCGCAATCGATTGGGTAGGTATTAGATTCGAGAGATTTTGTGTTAAACCAGAAATGTTATTAATTTTATTCCAAATGAATTTCAGGGAAGAATGATGATTGAGGGAGCTACAATACACTTTCCTAGTTGTAGCCATATTTTTTTTAACTTGAATGTAATTATCTAAATTTGGACTTGCCATGAAATTTCTAATAGAGATGACTCTGTTTAATACAAGTTCATTACATGAATCATCCCACCAAGGGATATGATATTTAACATTCCTGTTAGGCTTGAAGAAGTGAATAGTAGTTAGTATCAGCAACTTAATTTATTGTAGATATGAACTAATATTAATTATTTTTGGGTAAGGAAGAAATAAGAGTAATCAGTTTACTAAAGTAAAAATTCCAATCTGCCTTGTTAAAGTTTCTTCTGTTGTTAGGGGTAGGAGTCCCATTATTAGGGATTCTTATCTTACATTTGGTAGGAAAATGGTCACCAAAGCCCAAATCCGGAATCACTTTCCAAGTTGATTTATAAGCCACCATTTGGTGGAGAAATTCGTGTAGGAGAGCCATCATTTAAAAACACTAATTGTAGAGAATCTAAAAAATTTATTATATTTTTACCGTTTGATCTATTTGAGGAGCTTCTCCAACACACATGATTACAATTTAAATCCCCCATAATCAAAAGAGGTTTGTTAAATCTCTAAATAAAGTTAGACCAATTATTTTTGGAAATAAGGTAATCTCCTGGGCAATAAATATTCACTAAATTTAATTGGCAGTAGGAGAGATAGATGGATTGAATTTGAGTTGGAGGATCTAGAGAGTAATCTATTAGAAGAGGCCGAAAATTTAAATTGTTTTTAAATAAACAGGTTAGACCTCCATAGCCATTCAATCTATCATTACCCAATGTTTGGTAACCTCTATACCTTAACCTATGAACTTCCTTCATCCGAGTTTGATTAAGTAGGATTATGTCTGGATTGTGGTCCTTAATTAGGATCTTTAGATTATCTATGTTTGAGTTAAAAGAGCTAATGTTCCATTAATTAATGGTTAATGGATCGAGGAGCATAATAATAGATAATTAATATTCTGAATCTTCAGAGTACTTCATTAGACCTGACTAAGAGAAAAAATTTGAAGGTCCTGCTGGACCTGTAGGAGAAGATTGGGTTGTGATACAGAATAAAAAGAGTTTATAATATTACCTATGAAAGTCATGACTATCTCCTTGTGTTGGTCTGATAAGCTATCTAAAGGCGGGTACAGATCTGAGCACGTACGCGTATGAGGCAAGCCGAGGCCGAACCGAATGCCTCGTGCGACGCATTTTGTATACACGAATGATGGACGCACGAGGCGCTGTTCGCCACTGATCCAGTAAATTCGCGAGCACACAACTGTATACTCAGAAAATTCGTAAAATTAAAACAAAAATGAAGGATGAGGATGACGTTGCGGACTTAAGTGCATGCTTTATAATTTTATCCGACACATTAAAGAAAAAAGGAGGGGAATCGATGGCTGATTTGCTGCCAAGGATATCCTTTTTTTATTGTGTTGTTATAGAACTGGAGTTTTGCTCTCT